ATATAATATTATATTATATAATATAATATAATATAATATGATATAATATAATATAATATAATATAATATAATATAATAGAATAGAATATAATATAATATAATATAATATAATATGATATGATATAATACACTATCAATGTCACATATTAAACATGCAATCCAATACTTACAATACAATAGAATCTTTAAAACAAATATAACATAATGTCATGCAATATAGTAGAGTACCGTAATGTTACTAAACATGATGTAATATAGTTTATATGTTATGCCACGTCATGTTATGTTATGCTCTGCTGTTTAACACGGGATTTTACGTTCTATAGTTGTATATTAGTTGGTATTGCATAAGAAGATAATGAATACTATATTACACTATACTATACTGTATTGCAATATCTTATACTATATTATACTATGTTATACTCTATTATACTATGTTATACTATATCATGCTATATTTTACTATACCAGTATTATCCTAGGTTATACTGTATTGTACTATATCAGAATATATTGTACTAGGTTATACTATGTCCTACCCTATTAAACTACATTATACTACATTGCTTCAGGTTAAACTAGATTATCTCGTACTACCTTACACTACCTTGTATTATCTTTGCTTTTCTCTTATATGATATTACATCATATATGTTCTAGTCTGCTCTATTTTGCTGTATTCTGCTACATCGTGTTGTACTGTATACTACACTGTAACTACTATAAACTGTTGCTTTATGTGACATTCCCTTATATGACTTAGCTCAAGACGACGGGCACTGTTACACCTCAGGAGGGTGCAGCTTCTCTTGAGCCGACCGGGCCGAGGGCCCGAATTAAAAGCGCTGGCAGGACATCAGCAAGCCGGATCTGTCTAGGAAAGACGGTGCTTAGGTTAAGGGCCTTAAGGGTTTAGGGGCTGCTGACAAGAAGGAAGACAGTAGTTTGGGATAGGCTCTCGCTCCCCGACAGAGGCTCGACTCCACGAAAGATTCTCTGTACAACCAGATCCTGGCAGGCCCCTTCAGGGCCCCAGGTCTACAGAAGCTTCACGGTAGCCCTGCTCGAGTTAAGGCGCTGTCAACTTCTTGCAAGTCGGTGCTGCATGCCAGTCAGGAGTTAGGGGAATCGCCTGCAGCAAAGGTCAAGCCAGCCCTGGACATCAGTCAGCTCGCTTCGCTGCCCAGATGATTTCAGGTGTATACAGTCTTAGTACACAACAGCCAGCACGTTCCTCTCTTCCACATGCCCCAACTCGACATCCCGGACGGCCTTGTCACTGGCTGCCATGAGGCCTGTGCTGGCATCACGTAAGCCGCCTGCAGCTCGTGGGACTGCGGTGGCAGGCTCACGAAGCCCCCGTGCAAATCCGTATCCCAAGTTAGTGGAAGGCCTGGGCGGCTGGGGCAGGCATGCGCATCGGCGGGGCCATCTGCGGCGCCCTGACCGGGTACACGATCTGCGACTGCGTCCGCGGCCTCCCGCAGATGTCAGGTCGAAGCTTCGAAGCACCCCTTTTACCGAAGGCTTCCTAGTTGACCTATCTGAAGTCGTTGAGAGAATGGCATCGGCTTTCCGCCTGAAGCGCATCTTTCGAGACTTTGGCGTTTGAGTCATGTGAGTCTTGCATACCGGCAGCAGGGCGCCTGAATCCTGGCTCAATCGGCGCAGTGAGAACCTGGCGCGGGACATCGTCATGTGGCCAATCGCTTGGCTCGCTAGGTCGAGGTACAAGTCTAAGTCTTATGTAATGACCTTCGTGCGTCTACAATTTGCCAAAGACGCGGTTCCAGGAACAACCCCTTCATGGAAGTCGACATAAAATCCCGAAAACACCGCTCGCAGAAGAACACTCCTCCTCTTGCTCCTCCTCTTCCTCCTCCTCCCCCTCACCCATGCCTTTGCCATCGTCATCGCTGCCGTCAGCATCATCACCATCATCATCGTCATCATGCTCATCACCGGCTTCCCCATCAAAGTCGTCATACAAACCGTCATCACCTGCGCCACAGCCCCCGCCATAACCAGGAACAGGATCAACAGAACCCTTGTGAGCAGGACAGTCAGGCCCCAAACCAAGATCCAAGAAACTCTGAACCCTACATAACCTCTGAACCCTACATAACCCTAAACCCTGGGACCCTATAAGAATCCCAAGACCCAAGACCTCCAGACCCGGCCGTCCTGGACAGTCGTTTCGGATCTTGTGGGAGCGTCCGGCTTCCTCGGCCAGCGACAGTCTGGGTTTAAGGCTTAGGGCTAGGGTTTAGGGCCAAAGTTTAGGGTTTTGGAGTTTTGTGGCCGGGGCTTAGGGGGGGTTGGTTTTTGATGCCAGGTAGATGCTTCGCAGGAATGACTTCAAGGTCATGTCGGAGACCGCCATATACACGTCTGCATGGATAGATGCATGGACGGATGAATGCATGGACAGGTGGACGGATGTATAGATTATGAGATAATACAGTATAATATAAAAATAAAGAAAATATAGTACAGTATAGCATGGAATAATAAAGTATAATACACAGACGGTAAGTAATCAAAGCTCTCTCCAGCAACGCGAGAGCCTGAACGATCGGAATCGGGTTTTGGGGCACCTGGCACGTTGTCTGAAATTTATACATAGGGTCAAAACCCTAAACCCTAAATCCTAAACCCTAAACCCTACTATTAACCATTGCCACTCTCCCCGACCCGAAGCCCTAAATTTCTCGAAACCCTGATCTCCCCGAAACCCTCCTAAACCCTAAATCCCAAATCCTAAACTCCCCGAAACCCGAAACGACCCGAAACCCGAAAAAACCCTAATTCCCTCATACACCATTGCCAAGCGCTGCATGAGCGAGGAGCTCCTCTTTTTCTACTGGTCGAGCGTGCCAATC